TAATTTTGATTTTAAGATGAAAAATACTTTTATACATCAGAAACTTTCCAAATTTCATGTGTGGAATCTTTATAATGTCCAGATATTTATCAAATGTTTCTTAAGAAAAACTTTGTTTTATCTGTTATTTTCAGTAATTAATATCTGAAATAGTAGTTCAATAAAATTTTAAAGCAACAAACGAAATGACTTGGCCTTTCACCCATGACCCATCTCGAAAGGGTTAACTGTGGCTGCTCTCAACGGCCGCTGAATTTTTGTCAGCCGTACACCATATACAGCACGCTCGCATGCACCTGCTGGAGGTGGACTTTACTCTATATGGCAAATCAGCAGCCAATGGGTGAAATGTACCCAAACAAAGTTTTACACTTTCAAAAATTCTTGGATTAAGCCCTATGTCACTAAGTAATATGCGAAAATAAGCGGTAAACTCATGGTTTGTATTCTTGTTATTTTGTTTTTTTGTGGATGAAGTTATCTACATAGGCATAGCCTGGTATTTGGGAGTTGTGGTTTGTAATGTTTCCAGATAAATGTTAAAATGTATCTCATACTTTTGTTAACTTAATATACCTCAAGTTGATTCTCTGTAAAGAACACCCTACGTTTTGGGTTATAGCAGTTTCTTAGTATTGTGATTTGTTTATTTATTTAATACCAAAGAAAAACCTACTAATTTTGTGACATGACATTTCAAGTTTTAGTTACAAGTTTTATTAGTCAGTGATTTTTTTTCTATGGGTACTCTTTTTGCAGACTGTTTTATTATCAAAACTAAAAAGATGGAAACTGAGAGAATTGCAGAGTCTTCTCAAGCTAACAAAATTACCATTAAAGTTCAGTCACAGAACACAAGGCAGAAGCTTAATTTCACAGTAAACAAAGTAAGTTTTGTAATCTTGTGTTATTGTTTGAAAATATTCACCTAATATTGATTACTATGAATAAAGAATTGTAACTTGATTTTAACATTTTTAATTACTTATTTTCTTTTAGTACATTTTAATATGAGAAATATGAAACTTCCACATGTTCTGTAAAAAGCAGTTTGAACCGAAACAGTTGTTTTACTTGCAGATTATTAATTCAAAGACTGAAGTAAAAATTAGTATTATAAACGTAAATCATTATTCATAAATTCATGAAAGTTTAAAGGGACAAAAAGGGGCTTATTAGCCCATCAAGGATGCACCTTACAGCTCCCAACTATAACCACCCTTACTACTCATGTATTCATCCAATCTTTTCTTGAACTCAGTTATATTTTCTGCCTCCACCACCCTTAAAGGCAGCTCATTCCAAAAGCCAACCACCCTGTTTGAGAAGTAATACTGTCTAAACTGCAGATGGCACCAACACTGCCAAAATATGAGTTTGTGACCCCTTATCCTATTGTTTTCACTGCTTAACACAAAAAAGTTTGATGGATCTATATTATTATTAATACCCTTAATAATCTTAAACTCTTCAATCAAATCCCTTCTCCTCTCCAGAGAAAACTAGTTTAAAGATTTTAGTCTCTCCTCATAGGACAATCCCACCATCCCAGGTATCATCGTAGTGGCTCTTCTCTGAACCTTCTCCAACAATTCAATGTCCTTCTTAAGGAAGGGAGCTCAAAACTGTACACAGTACTCTAAATTAGGCCTTACAAGTGATCTATACAGTGAAACAATAATATCCATTGCCTTACATTCAATATTTCTATAGATGCTAGCAACAATACACTGTTTAGATGATTTGCGTGATTTTTTAAACACAACACCAAGATATTTTTCTTCAAATGCAGTATTTAATGTATTCCCATTTAAATTGTAACAATAATTTGAATTGCGAAAACCTATGTGCATCACCTTACATTTTGGATAGTTAAACATCATCTGCCATGTATTGGCCTAATGCATCAAATGATCTAAATCTCTCTGCAAGTCTGCAGTATCTTTGATACAGTTAGTCACCCCAAAAATCTTAATGTAATCTGCAGACTTCATTATTTTGTCATTCCAGAGTCAATATCATTAATATAAATCACAAACAGCAGAGGATCCAGCACAGAGCCCTGAGACACACCGCTTGTAACTATGATTTTTACATAGATCTCTAAGGAATGTAACTATAACATTATTACCATCTAAAAAATACTATTTTTTAAAAAGTCCATGTTTTCCCCCCTTTTTTGGTATAATCTAGGTAATCAAATTGCACTTGACATCTGCATGCATGTTGTATGTGTCGAACTATCTATATATATTTGAGAAAAAGACAGTCATATGTTTCAAAAATTCAATCTGAAAAGATTGAAATTTCATCAAAATTCTCTAGACTTATGCGAGCCTAAAATTTATTTTGAAGGGAAAGAATTAATTCAACATGTGTGTGTAGTGTTCCAAAATATTTTCTAAAAATTCAAATTTATTTACAAGCTGTGCAAGTTATAAAAGTATTGGAAATTGTAGTTACCTTGACAAAATTTCTTACCTTATCGGGATAACGTAAGACTAATTTAAGGTTATTGAATGTTCACGGCCAGGTGTTTTGGAAGATAAAAATTATAGATCCAACTCCTAGTACAATAAGGAAGTAATCATTTGTGAAAAACTTGAAGATTCTTGAAAATCATTTTCTACTTTCATGTTAGCTTCTTTTTCATCCCTGTGACACATATTTCTATATTTTTATGAATAAGATTTAATTTAGCATCAGAAAAAAAGAAACTGTTGGATTACACACTATATAACAAATGGAAGTATTTGTAGTCTGTTGAAAATGCTACATTTGCACATACAGTATGTTCTGGAAATTAAATTTTCTAAGTTCAAATGCTAAATCTAAAATTTCTTGTAACACTCTGTTTTAGTTTTCTCCACTCTCATCCCTTATGGAAGACTATGCTAAACAGACCAACAACCTTAAGAAGAAATTAACTTTTAAATTTGATGGAGAAATTATATCACATACTGACACCCCAGCTGACTTGGACATGGATGATGGTGACTGTCTGGATGTAAAAGTGACAGAATGAGGATAATTTAATAAAATAGTTTGGATAATATTGATATAATTTAAGTTTCAAAATGTATTTTTTAAAATCTTCACTGTGGATGAAGTACAAAAGTAGACTTAACTTGCATTGGCCTATGTTTGTTTTTAAAATGTAGCACGTTCATAGCTCATTCCCATGCTCAAAAAAATGTGTATATACACATCCAGCATTCATATAAAAATGTGTGGTCTTGCCTTACAAATGTCATATGCAAGATTGATGTTATTGGGTTTCTCAATGTACATATTTCACTTTAATGGATTTTGTACCATGGTATTTTTCTAAGATCTAGAGAAAGTCATCAACAATTTTTATATGTAATGTGGTTAACGTTTAATATTACTTCAAAGTGTTTGATTTTATAAAATATTACAGTATGTAAAGTTTCAAATATCTTAAGTGTATTGTTTTTGGTAGTTAGTAGATATTGTTTATCTTAATGGTGATTTTAAGTGCTGTTATATTCATTAAACGTTTTGTCACTATCTCACAGCTTAATTTTTACATCTAGAGAAAAAGATAATATGCAAATAATATCATCTCTATTAATATCATTTGTTCAATATATTTCATTAGAGTACTAGTAATTAAAGATGTAAAAAATGTGTACTTTTGAAATGAAGAGTTATTAAATGAATTATTTCTGTTTTTTGAAAATAAAAAATTGTAAACACTTATTTTGATGTGTTGCTGTTTACGGAAAAAATTTTATGAAACTGGAAAAATTAATATTTACAATATTTCAAATCATGGCATTAGCTCCTTAAAAATCCAACTCAACTATTCCCAAGTCTTTTTAGTGTACGGATTGATCAAGCAGTGAATAAATTCTAAAATAATTAAAAAAAAAAAAACTTTTTTTTTTAAAAAGTGATTGTATGTAAACATAAAACTTAACATTTGCCACTGTGAATATGAAGGGTATAAGAAATTAATCAAATCAACATATAATACATGAAACTAAATGAAGACTGCAGAGCCTTAATTGAAACTTTCATTTTTCTTCTTCCCAAATTTGGGATTAAACCACATTATCAAGTAAATTAAGGTGTCACTAATAAATTTATATATTACATCTCTTGCAGGTAATGTAATTAAATAGAAAATGGTGAAGGATTATACAAGATATTCATTTGTTGCCAAGTTGATTTAACAGCCTATAGGCAACTAACATTGGTTTAACATATGTAAACAAAAATTTAGCTAAATTTTAAACTGTGCAAATTTTATTATTTGTATATTGTATTTAAAAGTTATATTAAATTACAAAATTAACTAGTTAGTGTATTGCACTTGTTCACAAAAAGAAAGTCAAGGTCAATACTAGTGGTGTGGAGTATGTCATTTCCTAAAATTCTGACTCAAAAGTGGTCATAAGTTTTTTGTTCTGTTTTGGGCTAAGCAAATTTTCAGTTTCTAGCGGTTTAAACCCAGATTATTTACATCCTCTTAGATATCCTAATTGTGGAAGTACTTGAAACTTCAATCTTGATTGCAAAAAGGAAGAAAAACAAAAAAAAAACTTGAGCTCGAAAGGAAAGTGTTGGAAGAATATAGGTTTAGATCAATTTTAAACATTAACTTAGTTTTAGCAAGTTATATTATCCTACACTGACTGTTGATTTACAGGTTATTTGCACAAAGTGTTAAACTGATACGAGGACAAATATTTGATTTTTTCAGTATTTGTCCCTCAATGTTTTTATTCATGTTACGGATCAGACTATATACTAATGCATTGTGTTTTACTAACCAAAATTGTGTGAAGTTTAACAGCTCAAACTGTTAAGTGTTGGATTGTTATAGACATTCCATCTTTATTCACAGGAAGTACTCTTGATATAAAAGAATTTTTAATAATTAAATCTGTTTCATTCACTAGCTGGACATCTGGTAAAACTACTTTACTTTCCATCTGTCAACACCAAAAAAATATTAAAAGCTTTTATTTTTTTGATTCAGTGCTACAAAATTCCTGTATACTAGTATAGTCAGTGTAACAGTGTCTTTTAATTATCAGTAATGGCAAACTTTATTGTGGTAAATAGCTATTTGTTTGCTATATTTTTTTTCTACAAATTCTGAATCCAATTTCCTGTAGGATGAATTGGTCATAATTACCGAAAGGTGCTCTATGTTAGACAAAAATAATAGTCATACTGACTTTCCTATTCTGACATAACTTTCTAGATTCTGTAATATCCTTAATGTTGTATAGCTTGCCTTTACATAGCAGTAAGTACAAATTATTCATAATGCTTATCAAAACACATACCTCATAAATTCTTTTTTACAAATAACCAAGGTTATCACATGGAACTTTTGGAAACATACAAACATGATAAAAGGAGAATAAATTAAAATGCTTTTATTTTTTTATTAGCATCTCTGCCACAAAGTTCACAGGGGTTTAAAATGCCAATTCTTTGAGTGTTTCAAACTGTATAAATCCTGCCATGACAAGAACTGATTTCACCAACATTTTGACACATCATTTCATTCAGTTAATTTCACCAACTAATAACAGGTTTATTCACATGTACAGGGTCCTTATATAGCACAACATACAAAACAATGACCCTTTTATTAGCATAGACATGCATTTCAGGTGACTTAATTTTGCGTCTGAACATGATGTACTGCAAATATTTAATTTTAAGCTTAATCAACAGCTTATGTTTTCTGTTTAAGTGCAGGGTGGTAAGTTGAACTTGTCACCATTATACAACAACTTACCTGGGCACAAAAATTCTCAAGAATTGAAAAAAATAGTTTTATCAAAATGCAAATGCTAAATGATTATTGTTTTGCTTCTTATGATAAGTTTTTGTCAGAAAAACACTTAATAGAAATCTCAAGATCTCTTTGCATATCTTAAATATATTTGTTCTGAAAGTTTTTAATCTTTAACGTTTTCCTTGCACAATCAATTTTTTCATATTAAAAACAGTAATAAATATTACACTGCTATCAATTCAAGGCATTTTATTTAGATGCTGTATCGGTAATGTCACTGGCTCACTTTATAATGCAACAATTTCTTTTTTAGGCTACAGAATAACCGAAGGTAAAAGTAATTGTTTGTTACAACTGTTACAGTATGAATGTCATTTCTACACTGGCAGAACATGATTATATTTGTGTAAAGACATTCGTAATAAGGCTGATATTTTTTAATACTACATTCTTTATCAAGTCCATTTTGAATAGTATTTCAACCACACTGTTGTCATGTTCATTGCAGTTGATGCATTTTGCTCAATACAGAGCTCAGACCAGCTGGACACAACAAACACAATAGTAGCTAGAACACTATTTATAAAAGCTATTTGTTACAACGATTTTTCTGGTGTGAATGCCTTTTCTAAACTGGCAAACTGTGATTATGGTTAATTATACTAGTTATAAGACTGAATAAAGAATGTAGTGTTAAAAATATAATACGCCTAATACTAATGTCTTATGACAAGTATAAATGCACTGTTTTGACTTGTAATACATCATGTGAACAGCAGGTTTTTGACAATACAATGTTCACCATTATTCATAGTCAAACAATATTTATTACCATGTTTTCCTTCCATTTACCCTTGCAAACAATGAAAAAAAAGAGTGGAAAATTTATTTTCAGATCTGCAAAATAATGGATTTGAAAATCCTCACAGTACCAAAACATTTATTCATAAAGTATAAAAATGGATGATTATATAGAGTTAAAATTAAACAAAAAGTTTATAATTCACCTAACCACATTTATTGCAAGCAACAATAATGTTGTTAGTAAAAATAAAGAGAAAAACCTTTTTATACAACAGATAATGACTAGCTACTAACTGTCACCAATAATGTAAAAATATTTACACAATTAGCAACTTTTTTTTCTTATGAGCAAAATTTTTTTTTGGGGGGGGGGGGTACGAATGGGGATAAATTATGAAACTAGTATAAATTGTTTTACTTAAACCTGAAAAGTCATACATCATACTTTTGTTTAAAACGCTTTTAAAAAACAATTCCAATCCTCATTGAATCTTATTGCAAAAAAAAAAAGATTTGACAATAATAAGTACAATAATTTTTTAAGCCTAACCTTTCAGTGCTGGAAAAAATGTACAGAATTAAAAAACAAAAGTTTGGAAAATGTTAAAATTTGTAAGAATGACTTAAAAATATCACAAAAATCTTATGTAGTATAAACTGAGGAGAAATAAACAATTTTAAACATGTGGGATCTAAGATGGTGACAACTTACTCACCATCATGGTTATTCTAAATAATGTTGAATAACTTTCATGGGTGAAAATTCTCGATTGTAGACAGAAATCCATAAAAATGTCCTTTTCTAAGTCCATTCATATGACTGGTGTTGAAATGCAAGTAAAATCTGGGAAGGGAGCAACACAGAACAAATCCTCCTGCATTCAAAGCTCTACCTCCGATTTAAAAATGGATAGCAAGCCCCATCTATAAAATGCATATGTTTATGACATAGGAATGGTGTTATTTATGACACGAGTTACATGCTGCTTGTATATGTACCTAGGTTAATGGTAAGTGAAGTGATAGATCACACGAGCTGTGCATTTCCTCTCTGCTCTAGGTTTTTCTGCAGTTTAAAAGTGTGGCATATAATAGAGGGTTTGTCTGTGATAGAAGTTCACAAGAAAGTTATGAAACAAGTAGAGATGGGCTTGGCTTGATGAAAAAAACTCTACTGCTAGACAGCTACAATATTAGTGTAAAACTTTGCTAAGTCAGAATGTGTTTATTGCAAAGTATAAAGCAATTCAAAATCAGCTGATAAATATAAATTAATTGTTTACAGTTGAGTTAGTGGGCAACTGAAAAATTGTCACAAGACAGTTATTGAAACCATAGGCATTATTATTGCAATTAACTTAATGAAATATGTGGTTGATGAAAAAATATTTTCTTAATCATTGTAACTGAATAACGTTAATATATCAGAGGCTTTCAAGTTTAGAAAAAATAAGTAAAAAAATTCCACTCACAATGTGGGAAAAAAAGTTTAGCATTTATATATATACATTTGATACTATGTGAAATGAAGGTAAGTGATCTGCTAGTTGTTATTTTGACATGTAAAAATCTAAACGTTCAAGATCGGTATGAAATAACCGGTTAATAGGAAATATAATGAAAGCTTTTCTTTTATTATTATTAATTCTGCCAGTACTAAAACAAACATTAGATGAGATCCTCCCATGCTTTGATACATTTTCTTAGAACATAAGAAACAAACTGACTTACAAATATCTTTAATCATTTTTGGTAATTAGTTAAATTATATCAACAATGAATAGCAAAATCACAACCTAATGAGGAAAGAGATTCTAGTAAAAAGTGATACAATATTTACCTGAGAGATAACTATCACCAGTGGAAACTCATAAGCTTTAGAAATAAGTTACTTTTACCTTTATATACATTTTTAACAGCTGCAGCATTGTTATATAATAACTCTACATTGCAAAGAGAATCTGTAATAACTCCACTATAAATCCCAAACACATCAGAAAACAGTAAGAAGTTTATGTAATTGGAAATTGCAAATATTCGTATAACACTATAAAAAAAACATACAATTTTTTGCTAGGATATTCTTTATAGAATACTTGATATACAAGTGTTCTTGTAATAGCATCATTTCAGAAGTTTATTTTAAATCCTGAAGCTTCCTTTTTTTCCATCAATGTGCTTCAACCTTAGATAGACATCAGTACCAATTCCTTGCATTGTTTCAATGGTCAGATTTCCTCCTAAATATTCTGCATAAGCTTGCGTTGTTGGCAAACCAAAACCAAACCTGTTCGGATGCAAGTTTTTATACTTTATTAAATGTAATACTTCAACTAATTGTTTCAAATGAGATAGAGCTTTTAACACATCCAAATATACAACGTAAAATAAAAAGCGTCTCATTCCAATTAGTAATTACACATGCATTATCACAGACTGCACGTACAGATGTTTTATGTACACAGTACCTCCTGTCATATATGTTGCTAACCTGTTTCAGAAATACTAAATGTATAGAACAGATATTACTTACTTGTCTCAAAGTTTAACACTCAAAACAAACATGCTTATCAGGTTGGTTGAACACCACCCATTTCAGTAAAAGAATAACAAGATATAAGATTACTGTTTGTAAGAGATTAAACTAGTTGATAGCATTCCTTTTTAAAGTTGTTTATAAATGACTGGCAAAAAGCATTAAAATAATGAACTCAATGTAAATAACTCTACATACCCATGCATTGGCCCAGATGGTCCATGGTTGGACTCTGAAATCATTGTGCTAAACACCCCAGCTCCTTCCTCTTCTGAGTGACTGGCAGTAGTAAAGTGGTACTGGGTAACATGGTTGAGAAGATGGTGGGGAATACCTCCACCACGGTCAGAGACCCTTGAGAATAAATAAATAAGAAAAAAATAATCAATACATGTTTGATTTATAATTGATTTTAAATCATTTGTATTCTACAATTATCAACAAGAATGAAAGAATCGAATAAAAACTTACATGGCAATCATTTCAGTTTTCCTTTATTTTATTATACTTTTAATTGAAAACCTATTAAACCATTTACTGTGGCTAGGACATATAGGTTCCAGCCACAGTGAAAGGGTTAAAGATAACTCAATACGCTTTGTTGGAAACTTGATAAAAGAAAGTATTGAGGGACAATTGGAGAAGTTACATCATCATAAATACTTTAGCTTCCAATATAATTATATGATAAGTTTCTTCTTAGGAGTAACAATCACTTAGTAATTAAACTTCAATTCATGGGATTTTTGTAAGGAATTATATTAATCTAAGCACAAATGATAAAGGTTTCATACATTTGTTACAAAAACGAAAATTAATCATTAAAATATTAAAAAAAATCATGAATAACTGGTAATTATTCTTGACCAATATAACTAGAACCCATAAGTAAATAGTGTTGTTTCTTCCTACAGGCCTTCAAATTAACTTAATATTTGGTGATGATAGCTGGTGAATGTGAGTGAGACCACATTCTATTTTAAATTTTATGTCTTGCACTTCAGTTTTAACCAATAATAATTAAAGTTAGTGCCATAAGAGTTCCAATGTAGATGATTTGGGAAAAGGTCTAGAAGTCAGAAAGGTCATATTAAATGAAGAAATATTTTAAACAAGGTTTTAGTTTGAAGTTTCATAGTTGAATACGCCGATAAAAAAAACTACAAGTTTAATTGACTTAATTGTTCATTAAAGAAGATGCCTACAAATTTATAATACATATCTACTAGTTCTGCAAAGATTCATAAGTGGAAGATTGGGATTTTGGAAGAAAAAAAGCAAGGACTAAAATTTGACTAATAACTTGTATGTTATAAAAAAAATATTCAACTATAATAAGGCAATACAAATACATGTTCAAGTGCATACTTTTATAAATATACATGGAAACAAAAGGTCAGTATTACCTTAAAATAAAGTCCACATCATTGTTAGCTATAGTTACTGTTACTGGAGGAAGGCTGGATTCAGGTGTACCTGGATGGCTTTCAATAGTGGCCCTGTATGTAAGGAATCTCCATTAATAAATAGTTTGTTTAAAATGAGCAAAAAAGTTCAGTATCACATTCTTGTAAATAAAACAGGCTTACTTGCTAGTAACTGTCATATTATATCACAATAAGACTGATTTTTATCATATGTCATTACTAACCCAAAAACAGTATTTTTAAGAAGAGTAAATAATAGTATTTCAATTACTAGCCTATTGTCCACTGCTGAAAAGGCCTTAGGTTAAACCCAGAGCACTGAGGCTGACTGGATTACAACATACAAGGCATTAATTGTAATACCATTTAGATTGATCATCCATGAAATGTTAATTTTCATGTATATAATAATGACATTTTTACATCAGAAAAATATAAACAGTTTTAGTTCTAAAGAGCTATCCACAAAATATAATTTTGTAATAACTTCTACCAGAAGAGATGCTAAAATTCTACAATAATAAATATTCTTAATTACGAATAGACAAACTGCAAAAAGCTTTTATGATCACATTACCTTAGGTCATCAGTTGAGTACTCTTGCTGCTAGCATTAGTTTTTGCACTTAAGATTACTCTTAACTGAATTGTGTTCTTAAAGCAGCCTTTTCATTTTGTTACACTGCTTATTAATTCACTGCACAGCCTTTTCCCATAAAGTAGTGTTCATGTTACGAAATTGCTCTTCCTTTAAAGTTTCATTTTTTTTTTGTTACATTTATTTCCAATGAATAGTTAATAAGTTATTTTATTTTAGTACTAGGTTTGGAATTAGCAGGGCTAGCTGACAAAAAAACCTAGTGGGTTCTAGAGTTTAGCCAGAGATCATTAATAGACATTTTGTTACCCAGGGTGCTGAAGCTGAAACATTATTAAAATAAGCAGTTTTTATGGACCTCATGTTATGTTTACTTACAGAAAGTTAATTTTTCCCTACTAAATATTTAGTAGAAAAACATTCAAAAGACACTTAGCTACCTGACTGCATTTTTCAGCAGTTCTGGAATTATGTAGTCAATCGGAATCTGAATGTATGGAAAACTAGCAGTAATGTGTCCATTACATTTGATAACTGGAGTTTTCCCATACTTGTGTTCAGCAATTTGTCTATAAAAAATAAAAAATAATGAATGAAAAACCTCAACAAGTATTTCTCTTACATTTGATAAAGATCTTTCACATACTTAAATCCAGCAATTTGTTTGAAATACAAAAAGTGTAAGAAGAGCTTACGAGTAATTCTGGACAATTTCTTATGTGGCCTTCTTTGAAGTCTGATGAATACACTGTCTTTACATATGCATCTAGTTTCTACATAATTCTATAGGTAATAACATTAAAACAAAGCAACTGGATTTGTATCAGATGATAATACTGCATATATTGTTGTTTTTGTCACATCAAGGACAATTCGAGTCCAAGTCACATTTTCTATAATTCCATAACAAATTATTTTACTAATATGGAGGTATAATGAATCCTGTACAGGTTTTATTTACACATTTTCACACTTATATTCAAGTTTTAGAGTAACACATCAGTACTGTGAGAAAGTAATAAATCAATATAATATATACACACACACACACATATATATATATATATACATACATACATATGTATATGCAAACATTTTTGCTCCATATTTAATAAGTTTTAATCATTACGCCACCATATTTTAGCCAACTACTTCCACAACCAAATAGTCCACAATACAAATCTCCCACTTCAATCTAAATGCATTTTTAGTTTCAGTATATAGAAGTAGATATACATAAAATACAAAAAAAAAGCTTTGTATCATCAACAGTTAGACCTAAATATAACACTGTTTTATTTTGTATGCTCTGTCAGAAAGATCAAATGTTAATGCAAAGCTACACAACAACATTAATATGAAAAATACAAGGACTACCTTAAAATCTAAGAATTTAATTTTTTTGAAATAACACCATTTTCAACTTTCCAATTATCCATTTGACTGGGGTTCATATGGACACCACACAAGTACTTAAAGGATAAGTATCCTTTTCTCTAGTTTTACAAAATAAAGAATCAGATTTAAAAGATATAATAACCACTGGCTGGAATACAACATAGTATACTTTAGCTTTTCACTTTAATAAAAATATACTTTGTTGTAACAGTTTCTATTGTTATTGTTCATTTGAATTATTTGATGAAAAAATAATAATTCTGGTCTACTTAATGATAACAAAAATGTTTAATTTCTTCAATTACAACTTCAGTTAGTTTAACTAATGCTAACTCTAAGTTCACAGTAGACATTAACATAATTTCACTCACTTGGTAATATTCTCATATGTACAGTAATTCTTGCACATATAACTCAATATTGACAAAACTGAACTAACTAGTTGTTAGTAGCAAATAAGTTGATTAACAAACTTGCTAACTGAATAATCATCAAGCATCCACATTAACAGACTCCAAATAAATCGTCTACTTATGTTTTTTTTATATATTGTTAAAATAGTTTTCTAAAACATCAAGAAAGATCTCTCATTAAATCCCTAGAAAGTGATATCCAAAGTCCCTCTGGCTACACAAATGTTCAAATTAAAAAAAAAACAGCCTACAACAATGCCCCTTTCTGGATTGTGAAATTCCTTCAACAATCCTAATACAGAAAGAAAACTCTGGTGCACTGAACCTAAACTTCCATCATTAATGCTAAATTAGCTCTTGACATTTACATTCAGAAATATACCCATTACAATCATTAGTTGTGTAAAATAACATAAAATTATTATTTTAATTAACAAAACAAAAACATTCTTTCAACAGTATACTGTCCAATCAGCAAATGTTTCAGTTTGTTTTCTTTCTGTGGATTATGGTATGAAGATGGTATGACCCCTTGCTCTTTATCAATATTTGCTGTCTTGCCACTAGGTTTTTTTTTTTTTTCAAGCAGATGGTTAAGAAATTCCCCTGAAGGCTCCATAACTGGTGATATTATGGAAGTGGTCTTAACAGGAACACAAGGTTTTTCAATAGGTACACCTAGTTTTGGTAAAATCTATGAAGTTAGCCAGTTCGCCATTCTTCCACTGATGTACCTTCAAAGACAATCACGGTGGATGATCTTTGGTTTAGACCAACTGTCTTTTTCTGTTGCATTTTAGGTTGGATTTCTCCATTATCTTGTGTTTCCATTATTGTTATCAACAGAAGCTTAACTTCTAGTGTTGTATTAGTCATCTAACACAGAAAGGATTTCTTGGACAAATACTATGAAAATGATTGAAGCAAGCTTAACCTCACATCCATGCCTTCACTTGAAGTCTCTTCCCAACATATACACTTTGTGTTAGTTACCCACATATGTTGTGTAGAAAAGTTTCCCAGAGTTAGGATGCATACCAACCCTCTTCTTGCCAGAACTTTATGACTAATTGCTGTTCATATCAATTCACCTTGTTGTTTCATCTCTCAAGGCAATTTTATAGCTTTCATTACAAGATCACATCAAACAATGGTAACTGTATAACCAGAGTCAAATAAACTTGCAACTTATTACAAGGCTTTGCAACAATAAATCTGTTGACTCATGGACCAATTCCTTTAAATAATACACTTCTTACTTATATATGAGAACATAGAGTATTCTCATCCTCAGTCCATTATCAATTGTTGATTCATCACACTTTCACATGTATAGTGATTTCTTTCTGCCATCACCAATTGGAAGCAATTTCTATTTCCTAAAGGTTTTTGTCTAGAGTTCTTCACAATATTTCTTTCTAAATTGCAGTTGAAGCATTTTCTGTCCTCTGGTTTACTTCTTCCACTCTGAGTAAACAGTTGTCTAATTTATCCTTTGAGCTTTTCTACACTATCATCAAATTGATTTACTGTTTGTACAGTATGTGATCTAAGAATATCAATTCCTGTATGGTATCATTAGTTCATCACCAACCATAAAGAAGTACAAGTACTCTACATTTTCATGATTTGCATATTCTCATCTACTCAGTGTGTATAAACTGGTCATCTGCCAATGAATTAATCATTAAGCATCTGTACAAGATAATTGGATAAGCCTTTCCACATCTTCAGAAAATTCAGCTAAGGTCCCCATCCTTCCTCCTTACACTGTTCCTGAACTTTACTTTAGAAATTTCCTTCTGATGTGACACTCCAAATCTACTTGATAAGTCAGCCATTAATACCTGATAGTTGTTAATGGCTCTGTTGAAAGGATACTTAACAATGTTAAAGTTGGTCCTTTTAAATAAGCAGTAAGATTAATATCTTGCTGTTCAATGTTCCATCCATTTACCTTGGAAATTATTTCAAACTGTGTGACATGCTTCCCATGGTACCTTTCCATCATAACCTATTGAAATGTCCTGCTGAATTCTTAAGGAGGTAGTGATTTAGATGAAGTAGTTCAGGAAGGTTCTGCAATCATAGGTAGCAAAAAAGTGGATGTATAGTGGTAACATGTGTGAACTAGATAGGTTCTCCTTATGCATATTTCATACCTAATATTATCTTGATATTGGAATTCTTCAGTGGATATATAAAAGGTGTGGTTGATCTTTTTATAATTTCCAATTCAGTTTCCAGATGTTTTATCCTGGAATTGATATTCTTTTGTACTTCCCTTCTTTACTGTGTCATTTTGTCTTCCCTTTTCACTTTGTTGATGCAGTTTTTATTTCAATTTTATTGTTATAATCCTTCTGTACATTTTCTATGGTTTCCTTGATCTTATCTTTACTCAAGTTGTTTTCCATGATTCTTCTGTAAAACTGTTTCAATCTTGAAATTCCTTTCTTAATTTTTTGCTCTTTCTTCTTGAACTTTTTCAATTGTCTTTCAACTGTTTCATCATTCACAGCAAGTTTTTTGTCTCACTTTGAATATGTGTCACCATCTTGAAATTGGATCTTGATTTTTCACTTTACCAAAATAATTTCACTTTTCCTGATTGGTTGTTTTTTATATTATTATTAAGTAAAAAAAAATAACAATGAAAAAATTCAATGTACTTAACAATAACAAAAATGCTTTATTTCTCCTACTATAACTTTTTTTGGATCGCTTAACTAATGCTCACAGTAGATGCTAATACAACAATTTCACTTAGTTCCTAATTTTCTCATATGTAAAGGATTTCTTGCATCTAGTTTTTCATCAAAACAAACTCAACATTCACAACACTGAAAACTAACTGGCTGACAGTAACAGACAAATGGATTAAAAACATGAATGCAATCAAACATCTACTGGAACAGACTCACAAATAAAGTATCATCTACTCTAGCCTAACTTGTGTTTATATACTTCCCAAATAGCTTCCTATATTTCAAAAAAGTTCTAGTGATTAATACATGTCTAGAATTCTGATATTAAAATTCCCTGTTACTAAACAATCCAATTTTCTAAAATAATATAGATAAATGTGCCACTATTTTCTAAAAGTTTCAAGGTGCATTTTTAAGTTTCTTATCATTCAGTAGTTCTTGCAGTTTTTTTATTTTTGGTACTCCAATATTCTCCCTTTCAAGAAATTACTCTTTTTATCTTCCCGTTTTGTAAATTTTCTCCATTTTCATTTAACTGAAATCACAATGATGGATGTTAATTTTGCCACACAACAAAGTTTACAATTAAAAAAAGAGTAAATTTAAGTTAATTTATTCATTTGAAAACTGGTACTGTGTGGGATATACAACTGGATGTGAACTTACAAATGTTATAACCCTAGTTCACAACAATGCCAGCCAGCCATCATCTCAACATCCAATGGATTAAAAAAATTGGAAACTCTGGCTTTTAGCAAGGTTGTATTGTAGGATGGTCTACAAAACTGGGGAAGTTTTAAAGTGGTTAATCATGTAGTTAAATTCATTTCATCTTGAAATGTATTAATATCTTACCTGGAATAATCAGCCCAATAGTCCACTACTTCTTTGAGTTTCATAGCAGTATTGATGATACCAACATGATTAGGCTAAACACAAGAAAAGAGGGTTTATTCGATTAAATTACATACTTTACACAGACTGAAAACTGTAGAAGCAAAATTATTTACAGTTGAATGGGTATTTTTATACTTTACTTTTGAGTAAATTAAACTGAATTAAAGCCACCTAAGAATGTGGTGTTCACACACACACACACACCAACAGATTTGAAAATAATATATTCTAACTAACATTTGTATAGAGCATGGTCTGTGTGTCCAGTATTAAAATACCTCTTAGTTTACTTACTAATTTTGAAGAAAACATTTTTACAATAAGATTAATACAAAGTAATTTGAAAGAAAAAATAATTATGCATCTGTACATAATAGGTACAGAAACAAATTCATCTAAACACCAGAAGATGCCACCACTTAAGAATATTTATGAAATCCCTACAGGTTGTTAATATATTTTATGGGAATAAAACCTGTTTTTTTCTCCCTAAAAATGGCTGGATAAGTTATACTTTGCAAATACCCATTTCAATATCAAAACTCCAGTTTTTCACTTCTGAGCAGGGAACATAGGTGATCATGCACAAATGCATTAAACCATAACAGTTACAATGGTACCTTGTTAGAGAGATATAAAACACAAGTATTGCTTAGTTTAAAATAAAACAATTTCGAACACAGAAAATGATTTTTTAACACAAGTAATCATATTAAATTTACTGTTAAATCTAACAGGTAAGCTTACATAAATACTAAACATTGTATATAAACTCAAGTGAAAATATTAGGTTAGGAATAAAAGTTAGTTTGTTAGTTATGTTTTAAAAATAAGTCACATGAAGTCCTGTTTCCTGATCTCTTGATATCAACCCTTTTAATAATTTAACAAAAAAGAATAGTCACAAAATTCAACTTCACAGAGTGACAACCAGGATAAAGAAATATTTACTTATTTTGTGTGACATTACTATACTTTGTTGTGTTATACAGTCTGCTTGTTGTACCACATTCCAATGCATCGATTGAAAGAGCATTTTCAGTGGTGAGAAAGATCGTAACAGAGAACAGGACTGATTTAGGGCATGACACAGTATTTGGCCTTTTGAACTGCAAGTTTAACTCAGATTCCTCAGTCAGTAAATACAAGCGCAGCCAGCAGGTATTGAAAGATGCCAAAAGTGTAACTTAGGAATATAACAATGAACACTAATCAGTATATAAGCCCACTAACAAAGAACACTAATCAGAATGTATGTATTTTGTTATTTTTCAATTGTTACAATAAAAGTATATAACAATATTAGCAGATGACTGTGATTCTCTTAGTACATAAACCCACTGTAAATGGAAAAAAAAAAGGAAAACATCATTTCAATATTATAAGTGTAAATAAATGTCTGAAGTTCCCCAGAATGCATAAAAGTGCACCTTTTTTCCAAATTTTCTCTGGGAGCATGCTACTCGCTGTTGTGGTGCCTCCATAAAATGACTCTTGATTGCGCAACTCTCAGAGTATACACAGATAAAAAATGAAGGATGCATAACCTACCTGTTCTTGGTGTAGAGCTAAATGATGTTCTGCAAGCATTCTAATTCCCAATCGTGAAGTTAGTGTTTGATCCAGAAACTGTTGAACCAGTTTTTCTTCCTATGACAAAGTCAACAAAAACTATGTTTTTAGATACAACAAATATGATTTCCACTCAATATATAATAACACATTTAAACACAAATGTTTAGAATCATTATAAACAACTTAAAATTCTACTGTTCAAAATAGGAAAAACAAAAAACTGGTGGAATGCTCTGCAAACATGACAATTAAACATTTTCATAAGCACTGCTAAAAACTTTCCCCTTAACCTTGAGATATTTATCAAATAACATGGGTTTTGTAGTTAAGTATTTCAACAACAACACAAACACACACTGGTGGATGCTCTGCAGACATGACTATTTAGCATCACATTTCATAAGCACTGCTTGTCTTGAGATATTTATCAAATAACATGGGTTTTGTAATTTAAAGTATTTCAACAACAACAACACATATATATAAAACTTTAAAAGAAATATTTCTCATCTATAAATGTCATTATTCACATAACTGCTTATTCTAGATTGTTACCTTGATATATTTTCTGCATTCCTGAAAGCCAGATGCTAGTTTAGTAACTTCGTCTCGATGATCATCTAATAAATCTCTCAGCATTTCACTATACTGCTTATCCAATTTAAAATCTGTGATCTAATAAGGAAAAAATACCAAACAGGTGTATTTTAACCAGAAAATATTTAAATTGAATTAGTAAGTGACAGAAAACCAGCAAATAACTGTTTATTACCAAAAATAGATTTATATGTTGCACTTCAAGACCTTTCTTCAAAACAAACTGTCTACAATCTGAAAAATTTTATTACTTAGTACAGAGATTTAAGAAAAACAAAAATAACTCATGATTTTATTTTTTTAATGATAAAATATTGGTTATTTCCTAAAATTACAAAGAGAAATTAAAAAATGGATTGCTTAGATTTGTAAAGTTAATCAAAAACAAAAATATTTAACTTACAGCTGGGAATTCTGATAACATGGAAAAGGCTCGGATGTAAAGTTCATGCTAAAAAGCAAAAAATATATTCTTTTAATAAAAGTTGTCTAACAGATCATACAGGAAATATATTTGGACCAACTTTACAGTGGGTATAGTATAATACTTCTTCACTAGAGAAGAAGGAGAAACATACATCATCAGAACTCATCACATACTTAAGTCATTAACTGCACAGTGTTTACTCTAAGCACTACTGAAGCTATGCTTTCCTATATGCAGCTGCAAGAGCGGTTTTAACCTCATTATTGACTGTTATACAAGACATCTTTGTAGTTAATGATCTGATTAAATAATATAACATAAAAAAACGAGTGTTTGTATGTGTACACACACACACACACACACACACACACACACTCATATACAGAAAGAGAGAGATGTTCACTAGCTTTTGCTATGGAAACAGATGAAATGCAGTTTTAAGAAAAATTATAATCTTATTATCTTTAAACATGAGTATGAATCTTATGGTTGCTGTACTAAGATTAGAGTAGTGTTGTTCATTTTAGGAACTTTTTTTTTTTTTTATCAGAAATAAAGTACTGGCATTAACTATTCAAGGTAACTGTAAAAAGTTACATGTGCAACTAAAACTTGCCTATCCAGACAAACACTTTACATGGTTTATTTAAGAAGCATTAAACACTGTAAAATGGAAAAATAATACCTGTAACTTCATTTATATGTAGACAGAATTCAAACAAAAAATTCAAAGTTGTAAAGAATTACTAAATATCTTCAATAATGAGCATTACAGATAAAAGCTGGATTCAGAAAGTGAAAGGGAACTCTTTTAACTCTGTTTTAAGTTTATCCAAATGTCATGTTTTCTTTTAAATCCTCATATTTTAGCTTTACATGAACCATAGTACTGTAAGAATTCAGTAATTTATTTCACTTTTTTTTTAGATCCAGGATTGTTTTCTTTTTCTTAGAGTCATGTATACAAGTATTGTTTTTAAGACCCTGGTCACGAAAAACCAACCTCTAGACATCGCACCAAATTTTGAAATATGTTCCAGAAGACACCGATTGGTAAAAAACTACTTGACTACTATTCAGAATCTTTTTTCAGATTTGAAATCCATGAAGTATGAAAAAAGATACAGCTGTATGTAAATTCTATTGTTCATGAGGACTAAGTTAATCTATTTGCATATCTAAATCAATAAGTGAGGCAGAAAATACAGCAATTTATTCCTGCAAATATGAATGTTCCATTTCACTATGTCTTCAGGAATTGTACTATCACTATCAATCAATACCCTCATTTAGCTGGAGTTAAAGTAAAGAATACCTTTATCTTGGAAATGGTGACACAAAATCTATCATGCCAATTTCCTAGAAGGACTGAATTCATCAGAATCTGATGAGCTTTATTGGTAGACACTTTCCTACTTTTGATTCTTTACCCCCCCCCCCATTTCATATAACTCAATTTACTTTTCCACACACTCCCTGGGTATTTCTTTCGTATTCCATGGATAGCATGCCCACCCTTCTGACAATGCTTCTGGACAAAGTCTAGTAGTTTCATCTTCTACACTGCTTATATCCACTTCAGCACGATTACAGTGGACCAGATACAGTCCTTGGTTAATAGCTAGTGATTTAGCAGTAATCCCAACTTAATCTTGTTCATTCAACTCAAAATTTTCACATCTATAAGGTGTAAATAATGGTGCCTTGGGGGATGTAAATGACAACCTCTTTTCAATATTCAGTTCATTTGCTCCACATGTATTAAGCTTGGATGCTACAACAGCTTCTGCCTTGGATATGTTGGATGAAAAATGATTTTAGCAGCATTAGCCTCCCATTGAACCTCATGTGTGCTTCGTCTTCCAGTTTTTGCTTTGAACTTTTTCACTAACATTTGACCATTCAACAGATTGGCATCAAGTAATTTTCCAGTAGTGCCTGCGATACCATCTCTAAATGTTAAGGCCTTGTATATGTCCATTTCTGTAGTTATGTCATTTCCATCTTCCACAAATGAATTGAATGCCAAATTCAAATATGAAAAGTGGGTATCCAGTCTCCATCTACCAGTTTGATCCTCCGTACAAATCCACTTTGTGCCTGTCAGTGGTAGACTGCATTCCAACATTGAGATGGTGTGTGTGTGTGTCTCTCTCTCTCTCTCTCTCTATATATATATATATGGGATCAGATCCTGTGAGGCAAAGCATGTACCATCGTCACTTTGAACAATCACCCTATGGACATCAAGACAATTTGTCCTAACATCATGTACCATCTCTTTCAGTATAGCCACAACTTGTACATTATCTTATCCTGTGTATCCTTCTGCCACATAATCAATGAATTCGTACTGAAATCTAGGAACACCTTCATCGTCACACACCCATCAGACCTTCAATGAACCAAGCTATGACAAACATTTTACCAAAGTACTCCACTTGACCATTCTTCTTTAACTTTGTTGATTGCATCAAATTGAACTTTTGCTCTAAACCTATGAGCCATGTACCATAATGTTGTCTTTTGTACAATCAGGGTGGATGCTAACATTGATTCTACTTCCTTT